CCTCTCTTCAAACATTTCTTCTATTAAATAGTGTGTAATATTATTACATATACAATAAGTATTACATGTTTTTAAGTGTGTAATACTAGTATAGTAAAGGTTATGAATATTAAATATTAAAACATTTAAAATATAACTTTTATTATTCATATTAATAATCTTGTCAGTGCATGTAATCACATCACTTCTTGCATATTTCTACTCTCCATAGTTCATTGGCATTAAACGAACCTATCTAACAAATGTTTAGAATCTTAATCCCAGCAACAGCACGAAACTCTACAGCCCGTTCTCGCCCTGTGACGAGAGTACAGAGTGTGTGCTAATTAGCGTACCAAAGCCTATGAACTTACATCAAACAACCTAACTTAGCTACCCACGATTTTATTATGAACAAGTGTGTGTATATATATTTACAGTTCTCCTTTGTCATGCATTATCCGTTATATATAGGAGTAGGAGTAGGAGTAGACAATAGTGTTCAGTGAGAATCCACAGGGTCTTCTCTGAATACTCCTTATTTTCTTCTCCGAGGCTGTGGGTCCCCCCCCCACACTTGTACCAGAGGTTATATATATATATATATATATATATATATATATATATATATATATATATATATATATATATATATATATATATATATATATATGTCGTTCCTAGCCAGAACACACTTCTCGGCCTACTATGCAAGGTCCGATTTGCCTAAAAGGCCGAGTGATATTCTTTATGTTCAAACTATTGTTTCCAATTGGTTTATTTTAAATATTATTATTATATTATATTAAGAACATAAATTATTGACTCGGTTATGTTAGTTTAGGCTAGGTTAGGTTAGGTTAGGTTAGGTTAGGTTAGGGTTGCTTAGGTTCGGTCATATATCTACGTTAGTTTTAACTCTAAATAAAAAAACGTAACTCATACATACTAAGTTGGATAGGTCTATCATTTCATTAAAAAAATCGAAAATGATATAATTTCCGGAAAACTTGGCTTATTAGGCAAATTGGGCCATGTATAGTAGGCTGAAAAGTGCGTTCTGGCTACTAGGTACGACATATATATATATATATATATATATATATATATATATATATGTCGTACCTAATAGCCAGAACGCACTTCTCAGCCTACTATTCAAGGCCCGATTTGCCTAATAAGCCAAGTTTTCATGAATTAATGTTTTTTCGTCTACCTAACCTACCTAACCTAACCTAACCTAGCTTTTTTTGGCTACCTAACCTAACCTTACCTATATATATAGGTTAGGTTAGGTTAGGTAGGGTTGGTTAGGTTCGGTCATATATCTACGTTAATTTTAACTCCAATAAAAAAAAATTGACCTCATACATAGAGAAAAGGGTTGCTTTATCATTTCATAAGAAAAAAATTATAGTAAATATATTAATTCAGGAAAACTTGGCTTATTAGGCAAATCGGGCCTTGAATAGTAGGCTGAGAAGTGAGTTCTGGCTACTAGGTACGACATATATATATATATATATATATATATATATATATATATATATATGTCGTACCTAGTAGCCAGAACGCACTTATCAACCTACAATGCAAGGCCCGATTTGCCTAATAAGCCAAGTTTTCATGAATTAATATGTTTTCTCTAGTTCTTTTCTTACGAAATGATAAAGCTACCCATTTCATTATGTATGAGGTCAATTTTTTTTTTAATGGAGTTAAAATTAACGTACATATATGACCGAACTTAACCAACCCTACCTAACCTAACCTAACCTATCTTCATAGGTTAGGTTCGGTTAGGTAGCAGAAAAAGTTAGGTTAGGTTAGGTTAGGTAGGTTAGGTAGTCGAAAAAACATTAATTCATGAAAACGTGGCTTATTAGGCAAATCGGGCCTTGAATAGTAGGCTGATAAGTACGTTCTGGCTATTAGGTACGACATATATATATATATATATATATATATATATATATATATATATATATATATATATGTCGTACCTAGTAGCCAGAACGCACTTTTCAGCCTACTATACAAGGCCCAATTTGCCTAATAAGCCAAGTTTTCCGGAATTAATATATTTTCTCTAATTTTTTTCTTACGAAATGATAAAGCTACCCATTTCATTATGTATGAGGTCAATTTTTTTTTATTGGAGTTAAAATTAACGTAGATATATGAACGAACCTAACCAACCCTACCTAACCTAACCTAACCTATCTTTATAGGTTAGGTTAGGTTAGGTAGCCGAAAACGTTAGGTTAGGTTAGGTTAGGTGGGTTAGGTAGTCGAAAAACAATTAATTCATGAAAACTTGGCTTATTAGGCAAATCGGGCCTTGCATAGTAGGCTGAGAAGTACGTTCTGGCTACTAGGTACGACATATATATATATATATATATATATATATATATATATATATATATATATGTCGTACCTAGTAGCCAGAACGTACTTTTTGGCCTACTATGCAAGGCCCGATTTGCCTAATAAGCCAAGTTTTCCTGAATTAATATATTTTCTCTAATTTTTTTCTTATGAAATGATAAATTTACCAATTTCATTATGTATGAGGTCAATTGTTTTTTATTGGAGTTAAAATTAACGTAGATATATGACCGAACCTAACCAACCCTACCTAACCTAACCTAACCTATATATATAGGTAAGGTTAGGTTAGGTAGCCAAAAAAGCTAGGTTAGGTTAGGTTAGGTAGGTTAGGTAGACGAAAAAACATTAATTCATGAAAACTTGGCTTATTAGGCAAATCGGGCCTTGCATAGTAGGCTGAGAAGTGAGTTCTGGCTACTAGGTACGACATATATATATATATATATATATATATATATATATATATATATATATGTCGTACCTAGTAGCCAGAACGCACTTCTCAGCCTACTATGCAAGGCCCGATTTGCCTAATAAGCCAAGTTTTCCTGAATTAATATATTTTCTCTAATTTTTTTCTTATGAAATGATAAAGCTACCCATTTCATTATATATGAGATCAATTTTTTTTATTGGAGTTAAAATTAACGTAGATATATGACCAAACCTAACCAACCCTACCTAACCTAACCTAACCTATCTTTATAGGTTAGGTTAGGTTCGGTAGCAGAAAAAGTTAGGTTAGGTTAGGTTAGGTAGGTTAGGTAGTCGAAAAACAATTAATTCATGAAAACTTGGCTTATTAGGCAAATTGGGCCATGCATAGTAGGCTGAGAAGTGCGTTCTGGCTATTAGGTACGACATATATATATATATATATATTACCTAGTAGCCAGAACGCAGTACTCGGCCTACTATGCAAGGCCGAATTTGCCTAACAAGCCAAGTTTTCAGGAAATTATATAATTTTCGATTTTTTTCTAATGAAATGATAAACCTATCCAGTAACGTGTCCGAAGCTAGACACAAATACAACAAAATTATTGATGGTAACAGAGTCCATTTCATGTGGTCTCCATTTCATGTTGGCCTCCGAATGCATGATAAAGCTGATAAGTTAGCCAAAGAATCTGCCTTTAAAGGAGATGTTGAGTGTAACCTTGGATTGTCAATGAGCAATCTGAGAGCAGCAGTACACCGAGAACTTCAACAAGATCTTGTAGATCTGAGGCAAAGTGAAATTGACACCAGTAATTCCATCTATCATCATACTATCATGCAAGAGGAGCCACACATCTATGGTTCATCCAATAAAATCAGCAGACTTCTAGATGTTACTACTGCTCGGCTTAGACTGTTACAAGTATCTCTGGGAATTCTCATTATCTGCCGATGTAAACCTGACCAAATGTAAACTGTCAACAAAATTATTCGCACACCCTCCGTCACTATGTGATGGAGTGCGAAAAGATACGTGAATTCAGAGACAATTCTATGACCAATGTACCAACGATGTGTCAATATTTCACTCAAAATGATCTGCTACCAGAAATTTTAGCCAAATATCCCCAGTTTGCTAACTGTAGGTAGTAAGTAAGAGTGATTGTAACCTATCCACCGCTGCCCACTGGATGGGGGGCGGTGTGCAGGACAAACATATCAATTGTGACACTAGCTCTCCACATATGTCAGTTGGATATAGCTATCCATTTTAGTATGTATGAGTTAAGTTTTTTTATTTAGAGTTAAAACTAATGTAGATATATGACCGAACCTAACCAACCCTACCTAACCTAACCTAAGTTATCTTAACTTAGCCTAAACTAACATAAGAGTCAATAATTTGTTCTTAATATAATATAATAATATTTAAAATAAACCAATTGGAAACAATATTTTGAAAATAAAGAAAATCACTCGGCCTGTTAGGCAAATCGGGCCTTGCGTAGTAGGCCGAGAAGTGTTCTGGCTACTAGGTGCAATATATATATATATATATATATATATATATAGACATATGTCGTACCTAATAGCCAGAACGCACTTCTCAGCCTACTATTCAAGGCCCGATTTGCCTAATAAGCCAAGTTTTCATGAATTAATGTTTTTTCGTCTACCTAACCTACCTAACCTAACCTAACCTAACTTTTTTTGGCTACCTAACCTAACCTAACCTATAAATATAGGTTAGGTTAGGTTAGGTAGGGTTGGTTAGGTTCGGTCATATATCTACGTTAACTTTAACTCCAATAAAAAAAAATTGACCTCATACATAGAGAAAATGGTTGCTTTATCATTTCATAAGAAAAAAATTATAGTAAATATATTAATTCAGGAAAACTTGGCTTATTAGGCAAATCGGACCTTGCATAGTAGGCCAAAAAGTGAGTTCTGGCTATTAGGTACGACATATATATATATATATATATATATATATATATATATATATATATATATATATATATATATATATATATATATATATATATATATATATATATATATATGTCAACAAAATATTTATATTTGTATATTTCATATCATTCAAATTATGTTTGCGTCGTCATCGTATACACATATGATGAATCAATGTGTGATCATCATACACATATGATGAATGACTGTTGTCATTAAACACATACGCTGCATCAATTTGTCATCATCGTACATATATGATGCATCAATCCAACAACGAGGGAAAGATTGATGAAACAAGAACAATGAATCTGTCTATACTTTTGTAATTAAACATATATATATATAGTATTTTGCAACAGTTAACCTTATTCGTAGATAAGCTTGGTAAAAACTTTACCAAAGAGCAGTTGCCCTTAAGTTATCCTCTCAAGTCCCCTGCGAGATGGAGAACTCGGCACACACACACACTGGCCGGTGTGAAAGCTCTTTTCTAGAGATCTGAATGTGAAATGTATCTCTGTGGCAACTCGTGGTTCACCGTAAGCCCAAACACCTCTGCTGCTGACACCAAAATGCCCCTCAACTCTATTATTGTTACACTCTTCCTCACTGTCATCATATTCTGATATACAAAGAACCGTTTGACTGTGACGGAAATCTTGTGCATGTAGACAGCAGTGCTTGTACAGCTCCAGTTTTCAAGACTCAATATTGAATAATGTTAACTCTTACATATGACACGTTGCCACAAAGACCATGTCCAAACGACTGATAAGAATCTAAGAAACATACAGTGTTATAGCTCAAAGTCCTTAGTATTATGCTTACATTTGTTGGAGCTAAAAATACATATCTTCACAATATTTCTATTTTAGATTAATATAATTGAAATGCTTTTAATTTACATTTGTATTTCTCTTGCATATGTTAATATACAAAATAATGTTACATAAGGCCTTGTTAGTGTGCATCTAAGCAGTCACATGATGCTATTTACAGTAAGTAGGGAAGACCAGGTCAATGCCTCTGGTGGAGCACATGGTTTGGTACGCATATGCAGCGCGGCAAGTCTGAGTAATCCCATAACATATTTTGATGAACGGTTCCGGACTGATCAACGGAGAGCACCTCGATCGAATTTCCAGAAGTTCATTACATTGAGCTGCCCACAGTATATTAATATTGTCGGGTGACACTGGAGGGACGGGTGGAGTGCGGCACTCTTGACTCTCTTGCCACGAGAACACCAGCTCTTGTAGGCTGGAAGCCCTGACACCAGAAGGCATCAGCCAATCATTACCAGTTTCGCCATCGTAACTACCAAGAAGGCCCGTTATGTGACCGAAGGCCCAGCCCCCAACGTTTACTGAAATCACACGTCGTTGTAGGAATATTCGGACAGACATGTAGGGTAACGTTAAACTGACTTCTTGTGGCGTCTTCTGGATTGTGAGCTCGCCAACAGTTACTTGTGCCATGCTCATCTCTTGTCCATTAATCTCAACACGGAAGTCCGCTTTGATAACGACGGTAGTGGAGTGAGTTGATAAGGTGATTTGTGGCGGGGATGATCGTTCTGGATGGGACATGGTAAGCTTGTTGGATTTGTAGATAGCTAAAATAACCTCACACGGTGAAGGTGGTGCTCGGAGCACAGCGCCGTCAAAGGTGAGGATCTCTGTGTCGCTCACAACCATGGCGGTGCGGTTGTATGGGGGCAACACATCCCTCTTGTGACGGGGCAGCAAGGTGTAGTATGCCCATATCAAGTCATTGATTGAAACAGGTATGAATGTGTCGTACCTCCACGCCACATTCTGATATATTGTGATAGGGTACGGCATTGCTGTTTGGAGAACTTGAGTTAAAGAATACATTGGAGTGTGTAAAGGAATTTGCACATTCATATGATGTTTTTCTTTTTCTACAGAAACTAATAAAATTTCTTTATTTACTTCACTGGTTAATGCATTCGCTTCAAAAATCACCCAATTCTCCTGAGGAATAAAAAAAAAATATAATTAAAATTACAGTCATTCTCAAGTAATCTATTAAAAACTGGTTAATATTATAAAACATTTAGACTGTAGCTCATAACTGTGAATATCTACATAATACACACTACACATGAAGTATCATTATTTGCTCAAAAGAACTGCACATAACTCTTCTAAAATAACGACAATATACTAACACCAACGAATGAGTTGACGAGCCACAGTAGCGTCCTCAGGATAGGAGGCAACCGGAAATAATACAAACGGAGAATGTTAATATCATCCCACAAAGTTTGTCTGAATTTAGACGCCATATTCCACACGGCTTCACACTCCTCAGGATAGCGCGCGGTTATGGCGTCGTAGATGTTCTTGAATATCGCGTAGATCCTGGTCTTTTCCAGCTGTTGTCGCAGGTCCTCCACCCAGGGAGGCACCATCCCGAACTGCATCCAGCGGGCAGCATCCATTACTCCTGTACACGCAATGTTGCAATGTTCGCAGTTTGAGTTTGGCCAGATTTTGCACACCCACACCCACACACACACACACATATATATATATATATATATATATATATATATATATATATATATATATATATATATATATATATATATATATATATATATATATAGTATATATATATATATTTTGGAGAATTTTATATATATAAATATATATTTTGGAGAATTTTGGAGAATTGATTTTTGATTTACCTCCAACAGTGAAACGAAATGTACGAAAGATTGAGAAAATTCGTGTTAGAATTATTAATCTTACTTTTTCGGTCATATTTAATAATATATGTCTACAGGAAAGACTGCTACCAAAATATACTAATATATATATATATATATATATATATATACATATATATATATATATATATATATATATATATACACATACATATAACATGCATATGTATGTATGAATGTATTGACAGGTGTGTGTGTGAGATATGAAGAATACATAAATGGTAGCATGAAATTTGATTGATGAACCTCTGTTATTTAATTGTTGCATTTTGCATATGTATATAAATAATTATCTTTAATTCATACAATAATTATAGACCGAAAGGTTACTTCTTCAGAATAAAGTTTTGGATAATTGTTAGTTTTAATAAAGTCATGCATAAAAATGAAACTGTCTCATTAGAAATATTCAGAGATGTAGTCAAATTTGATGTTTAATTTGTAAAAATATGTAGACGGCTTATTCATTTATGTACAGTATAAAAGTTCAACACTTACGGTTCATAATCATCATTGTAAATTTATTTGATTCATTCCGAATGTAAAGCAATTCTTCGACAATACTGTCTACGATGAACTTTTGCGCATCGGCCAAGCCTAATAAAAAGTCGTAGCAATATTGTTGGACGTAGGCTACCACGGGAGTTATGGTGTGACAGAAAGCCTCAAACTTAGGTACAATTACATCATAGACATCTTCATATATTTCTCGCAGATCGAGATCGACTTGGTTTATGAGGGAAAGTATCTGAGGGTTTGGGAAGAGAATGCCTCGCTGCTGAGCTTGGTCCTTCATGTAGTTATACACGCTGCCAGCCCACGTCTGAACAGACCCCATCACTCGCCTGCACGCCGCTACCACATTATTCTGTAAACAATTATCAACCAATAATCTTGGTATGCATATTTTATTTTTATAGAATATCTCCTAATAAGTTAAAGCTAGGACGTCATCATGAGAAAGCACTCTGCTACAATGACTAAATAACTTAGAACGGTTCAAAAAGGCTAGATAAATAGCTGGGAATATAAGGAGTGAGTGAAGGAACAATGGCTAGCCACTTGAGCCCAAGGATAAATGTACAAAAATGTAAGAACTTTTGTATATATAAATAAATACAAATAAATAACTAAAAATAACGCCGCCCATGAGACGCTAGGCTATCGCTCAAAACACAAATCAAGAGCATGGGAATTCTAAATAGTATAAATTACAATAACTGGTTTCAAACTAAAATACGAATTCGACCAAGAATTCCTCGATCAAGAATATTATTAGATATAAAATGGCAGTAGTTGCTGTACTCTTATTCTGATTATAATCATTTCTTTCAAAATTAGGTCAACATAAAGTTTATAAATGCAGGTCTACAATTTCTCAATCTAAGATAATTACAAGTTCAAGTTAAAAATAAACTATTTTGATCTCTTTTAAAATACTTTTTAAAAACATGTATATAACTGCCATTTACCTTAACTCTGGTAAAATGTTGTTCGACAAAAGCCACATCAACACTGATCAGGGTTGGAGAGGTCAACTGTGCTTGCATCTCTGCAATGACATATCTTTGCGGTGAGCCATTAAATTCCACAGCCAAACTGACCTCAGCGTTCTTTGGGGTCTGGAACCCACACCTTGCAGCGTAAATATACTGACTATGTAGCTTATTTATTGATAGTTGGATGAAGGCAGGTTTACAGAACTTGGAGTGAACTTCGTAAGAGCCGAAGGATGAAATGTGAGCCACAGCCTTGACCTTGTGGCCGTTACACTCGGGATCTTCTTCACGCTGCGTCGTTCCAGCGATGTCCACCACGGAGACTCCAGCGTTAATCACACGGAAGGCCATTGTTGCATCTCTAGGGGAGACCCGGTCGTATATGGCCGACACCTGGAAGGTTACCGGGGAGGAGGGAGACTTCTGGAACTGGAGATCAATGCCAGCCGTGTGGGGAGCATAGGCCATCACTATGGTGACCTTGGGAAGCTCCATTAGTATCTGCAACAGTTACACATCATGGTAACAATAACAAAGAATGGCTGTTGCATGATTTTGCTCATGGGAATAATATATCATGGAGTACAAACAATGGGAAACTTACCCTTGTGGCTAATGCTACTTCAATTTTGATTGTATTGTTAGCAGTTTTAGTTGACTGGAAGGTGCCCACAATTTTGTCTGCTGTATCTGGGAAGACGTCCAGTTCAATAGAACCTCTCAGTTCTTCTCCACTGCCCGAATGCTGAACCTTAACTTGCAAGTCTCTTGCCAGACGTGGATGACTAATGCGACCTTCGTACTTGGACTGGTGATCCCGGTAGCTGTGGGAGGACTTGGCCGCGATCTCGTATTTTGCCTCACTCTTAGCCTTGTTAGGATAGAACCTGAGACTTGACGCTGAAGGAGAATACTCGACGTCACCCTCCATAGTGCGGGATGGAGATTTAAAGATCATAGCGAAGGTGTTGGGTGTGGGATTTTGATAGAGGCAGCTGTAAATCTCTCTAACATGATGTTCGTCCATGTCATTTGTATTCCTATAGGCTTCTCTTTTTCTTATCTGGTAACCCGGTCTATCCTGATATTCGCCTCTATCGTTGTCATAGTCTTCACCTTGTCGTTCTTTGTTGTCCTTGTCGTCCAGAGGTTTACCCGTTTTGTTGGCATAGTCCTCGCCTTGATCCCTCTGGTAACCCTCCACAATATCCTGGTATTCAGATCTGTCATTGTCATAGTCTTTGCCTTGGCCTCCCTGGTAACTCTCTCTATCCTGGTATTCAGATCTGTCATTGTCATAGTCTTTGCCTTGGCCTCCCTGGTAACTCTCTCTATCCTGGTATTCAGATCTGTCATTGTCATAGTCTTTGCCTTGGCCTCCCTGGTAACTCTCTCTATCCTGGTATTCAGATCTGTCATTGTCATAGTCTTTGCCTTGGCCTCCCTGGTAACTCTCTCTATCCTGGTATTTAGACCTGTCATTGTCATAGTCTTTGCCTTGGCCTCCCTGGTAACTCTGTCTATCCTGGTATTCAGACCTGTCATTGTCATAGTCTTTGCCTTGGCCTCCCTGGTAACTCTCTCTATCCTGGTATTCAGACCTGTCATTGTCATAGTCTTTGCCTTGGCCTCCCTGGTAACTCTGTCTATCTTGATATTCAGATCTGTCATTGTCATAGTCTTTGCCTTGACCTCTCTTGTAATTCTGATTATCCCCATATTCGTCCCTGCCGCTGTCATAATCTTCTCTTTGGCGTCCTTCATAACTTTCCCTGTCTCGATGTTTATCTGTGTCGGTGTTATAGTCTTCTTGACGTTCTTTGTAACTTTCTCTGTTATGTTGCTCTTCCATAATGTCTTCATTGTCTCCTCTTCCTTCAATCATACTAAGCGCTGTCTTTATTAGGTCACGGACAGCTGTCATATCTATCGAAGACTCCAAAGATTTGACACCACCCTCCTGGTGCGTCACCATGTCCCACTTGAACATGGTGACTGGAGAGTCCAGGTCCGCCTTCCAGTGGATGTTATAAGAGTTCTCCTCACTGGAGGACTGGAACTCTACCTGTAAAGGCTTCCTCGTACTAGAAGTCGACGTTGCACTCTGAAGTAGAAGAACTGTTATTAATGTACCTCTTAATTCCTATACATAGAAATTTAGGTATTTGACTCTAATGATCTACTGAGGTAAAACTACTATCTTTACGTCTCTACCTTACACTAAAGGCAAATATAAAATGTTTAGTTCAAATATATATTTGAACTAAATCAGACTTAAAAAAAAATTGTGCACTTTTTTAATATTTCCATAAGCAATTTGCCATTTGAATGCAGTTGAAGAAAGCTTGAATGTATATGAATTCTTAAATATGTAACTTGATGCAATCCATCACAAGTCACTTTACCTTTACATATATGACCCGGGCCTCTGGTGTACTGTGATGCATAGCTTTCGTTGTGAGGCTCGTGGTGTGGCCCTCTGGTGACATGTAGTTGAGTTGCAAAGCAAGCTTGTAGTTGTATGGGCTGCCCAGGCTTTCCAAACCTATGACACTTGCTAATCTGTAATCGTTATTCTCCAGGTTCTTGTAGCGAAAACGGGTATGTATATTAATAGAGTTATGTTGTTGCTGAACAGTGTTCTTCACCTCATATATACAAGTTTTGTTAGCGGCAGTAATTATTTCAAGTTCCAAACCATTCTCTCCCTGGAAATGGGCTAAAAGGTTGGCTTCTGTGAGATTCATTTTGACAATGTAGGTCTCGTTCAGCCACTTGACAGTGCCTCTGAAACAGAAGAGAGCATTCAGTATTTATTTTACTCCAGTTAGATATTAGTCTTATCCAGAATTAACATAAAATATACAACAAACAGATTTAAAAGTAATTTTAGTATACTTTAAAATGATTCATATCTAAAGTGCGAAGGTTCGATTATCACAGCAGGGCAGCAGCGTATAGCAATGTTTTTCTCACCTGATGCCTCTGTTCACCTAGTAAAAAATTAGATACCTAGAAAAGCTAAACAGCTCGAGCCTGTAGGCACAAAGAGGTGAATACTCACACTAATAATAATAACCCGTGGTTCAATGGACAGTGCTAGGAAGCGAAAGCAAAAAAGCAGGAGGGAGTGGAGGAAATAATAATAATAATAATAATAATAATAATTTATTGTTTCGAGGGACAGGAAGCCAGTGTATTCATACACGTTTGGCTTTTATCAAAGCTCCCCCCCCCCACTCAAGGCCGAATTACTGACCTCGCCTAGGAGGTCACCCCACAACACGCTGACTAGCACCTGAGTACCTACTCACTACCAGGTGAACAAAAGCATTAGGTGAAAGGAAATGTGCGCAACCATTTCTGTCCCGCCTGGGGTTCGAACCCTGAATTCTCTATTATGCGTCGAGAACGAACGGTCCCGAGTACTACCGGGACCATCAAACAGAGGGCAAAGGACGGAGGTACAACAGAGGTAAACGGGAAGAGGTGCAACAGGGGGCCAGGAATGACTAAATAAATATATAAGAAGAGTGTGGGAAAGAAAGTATGAAAATGATATTGCCTCCAAAGCAAAGAGCCAACCGAAACTCTTACATAGCCATATAAGAAGGAAATTGACAATGACAAAGTAACCAGGTTACGAAAAAGGGAAGACCAGTATACAGAAAATGATAAAGAAATTTGTGAGGCGCTCAAGGCCAGCTTCCATGGAGTGTTCACTACTGAGCCTGAACAACTCCCAGAGCTAGATGAGGAAGCAGCCCCTGATGAGAAACTACTAAATATTGAGGTAACAGCGGATAAAGTAAGTTACATCTAGCATCACAAGATGTAGCCAAAGCTTCTGGGCCAGACAGAGTATCACCATGTATGTTAAAAGAAGCAGCACAGGCTCTCAGCATACCTCTAGCACTAATCTTTAATGCATCACTTACAGAGGAGGACTCGTCCAGCTGCTGGAAGAAGGCAAATGTGGTGCCAATCTATATGAAAGGAGATAGAGAAGAGGCGCTTAACTACAGACCAGTGTCACTCACAAGCATCCCTTGCAAAGTACTTGAAAGAATGATAAGGTTAAGACTAGTTGTACACCTAGAAAGAATTAGGTTTGTAAGTAAACAACAACACGGTTTAAGAGCAGGGAAATCCTGCCTGACGAACCTCCTGAAGTTTTATAATCAGGTAACGAACATAAGGCAAGACAGAGAAGGCTGGGCAGATTGCATATTTCTGGACTGCCAAAAAGCCTTTGATACAGTACCACACAGGAGGTTACTATACAAACTGGAGAGACAGGCGGGAGTAAGCGGAAGCACACTAATGTGGGTAAGGAAATAACTGGCAGATAGGAGGGAGAGCGCGACAGTGAGGGGTGAGAAGTAGGAGCTGCATAACAAGGATCAAGGTGCTGGGACCCACACTATTCTTCATTATGAAAATGACTTGACTGCAGGAGTTGAGTCAGACTCGACATTTGCGAACTATGCAAAACGATTACAATCCTCCTCCGATAGAAGAGGATTTTAGATTCTACAAGATGGCTTGAACAAGTTGAAGAGCTGGTTCTAGAAATGGCTGCTGGAGTTCAGCAAGTGTAAGGTGATGGGAATGGGATCAGGAGACCAAGAGGCCAATACAGGATGAAAGAAAAGTATCTCCCTATAAAGAGATAAACACCTGAGAGTCGACATAACACCAACCTAACTCCAGAGGCTCATATATATAGAATAACATCAGCTGCATTCTTTTGTGAACAAAAGTCAGAAGAACCTTCAGGAACTTGAATAAGGATACTTTTAGATCACTGTATACCACCTATGTGAGACCAGTTTTTATGCTGCCCCATCGCGGAACCCCCATCTAAAAAATACATCAGGAAGGTAGAAAATGTGTAGAAATTTGCACTGAGACTCATCCCAGAGTTGCGAGGGATGAGGTATGAACAGCGGGTGAAGGAATTAAACCCGACAACGCGAGAAAGGAGGAGGGAGAGGGGGGACATGATACAGACGTATAAAATACTTAGGGAGATTGACAGGGTGGAAGAAGAGGAAATATTTACAATGAATACCACGGATGGAAGCGATCAGATGTGTCATAGAGATGTTAGAAAGTTTTCTTATAGCATAAGGGTAGTGAGCAAAAGGAATGACCTAAAGGAGTGGGTTGTAGAGGCAAACTCTACAACCTGCTCCTTAAGGTCATTCACAACTAATTCAACCTGCAACTTTAGGTCATTCATAAAATTTCACAACTTTAAAAGAAAATATGGCAGGGAACTAGGCCAGGAGTCAATGCATTAGACAACTAATAGCTAGAAAAGTGGGGTCCAAGAGCTAAATCTCAGTCCTGCAGGCAGAAATAGGTGAGTACACACACACACACACAGGTCAATCATATCAATGTTTGCTGACGGTACTAAGATAATGTGAAGGATGAGAAGTAAAGAAGGCTGCAAGACTCTGGAAGATGAAGTAGACTGTCTTAGAAACAGCTACTGGACTTTACTCCAGACACAAGCAAGGATATGAGGATAAAAACAGGAATGAGGGAGCATCAAATACAGCACACATTGAAAGAAAGACAACGTTCCACTTGGGAAAAGAGAGTTTAGTAGGAGACATAACTGGAGATGTAAGATGAAGTAGATAACCGCTTTTGCCCGAAACTCTATGGTGCTAGTGGCTTTACAAGAATGTTAATTCAACTTATTTTCTATATTCTCTTTTAACTCCCAATGTAACTTCTTGTATATAAATAAATAAATAAATAATAAATAAATGTAACACCAGAGACACATCACAAGGATAACATGGGCAGCATATGTAAACTGATAAATGTTCTGATCAACTTCAGGAGCTTGGACAAATGACTCATCCGAGCACTATGTACATCCCGTGTGAATCTCATCCTTGTCCATGAAATATATGTTCCCAGTGTGGAACCCCCTACCTAAAGAAACACAAAACCAAACTAGAAAAGATCCAATGCTATGCAACAAGGCTTGTTGCTGAGCTCAGGGGACTGAGCCAAGAGGAAACACTGAGGACACTGGATCTGGCCACACTGGAGGAAAGGAGGAATGGGGCAGACATGATAATGATGCACAACATACTAGTGGGAGGAAACTGACTAAAAACAGAGACGCAGCGCTTAGAGTGAAGAACTGTAGTAATGGCATCATTTGAAACTGGCGACATAAATGAGTCACAAAGTTGTCCGAAGGAACGTTTTCAGTTTTTTAAGAGTATTAAAACACTTTAACGCGTGCGGCGATATGGACTGGACCTTCTTGGAAGTGAACTCGACGTTTTCGGGTGACCGAGCGGCAACACTGAAAAATGCATACTCTTTTCGCTGTCCTGACCATAATTTTCGATGTACAGATTTCATTTTTTGTACCAATGTGTTCGCTATAGAATGATCTACAAGAACATATGTATATGTCACCAAAGCATGAGTTAAATCACACAAAAAGCTAAAGAACTACATTGATCACTAGCCGTGAGCTCCGAACAGCGACAAAATGTTTCTATTCTTTTCAGGGTTGTCAACTCCACACTTGTCCTACAGCGTTAAATTTGGTATCACTGTGATCGCAATTAAATTCCCTACACGGACATATGCATATAAATGCAGAATCATGATCGCGGCCCACACCAAGAGTGTGTGAAGTGCGCGATTACACTTGCCATGTCAACAATACAATGGTCTTTCCACTAAGTTACAATACAATGCCGTTCTCCCAAATATGCCATGTGCCTATTAGAGAAAACGGAAATGTAATGGCAAACATTTTCATATTATCCCCAAGTCGATCGAATAAGAATTGGATTTTATACAAATATTTTTTAATCGGTCGTAAATTTACGACGCACCTGTACTTTTAGGAAAAACTACTTGTCGTTTATTTACGACCCAGGAGCGCTAAAGTGTTTATTAATAAACACTTTAGCGCCCCTGGGTCGTAAATAACTTTAGTGGAACTAAATAAGTGGAATGGAATAACTAAATAAGTGTAGTGGTAAGACACTCGCCTGGCGTTCCGCGAGCGCTATGTCATGGGTTCGTATCCTGGCCGGGGAGGATTTACTGGGCGCAATTCCTTAACTGTAGCCTCTGTTTAACGCAACAGTAAAATGTGTACTTGGATGAAAAAACGATTCTTCGCGGCAGGGGATCGTATTCCAGGGACCATAGGATTAAGGACTTGCCCGAAACGCTACGCGTACTAGTGGCTGTACAAGAATGTAACAACTCTTGTATATATCAAAAAAAAAAAAAAAAAAAAAAAAAAAAAAAAAAAAAAAAGAATAATAAAAAGAACTAAATAATGGAATAATAAATAAGTGGAACATATACTAGATAACGAAGTTGTCGAGGCTAATTCAATACAATTTTAAATGTTAATATGATAAGGAAAACGAGTTAAAATAAAGAGTAATTGCAGATCAGATCTATCTAGGAAGGGTAGGGAGACATAATGGCTGCCGGTCTGAGAATCAGGGGAAAACGCCAAGCCATTACAACTATAGCACTGGGAAGGGGTCAGGATAAGGATTTGGGATGGGACGGGGGGGGGGGGGAAGGAATGGTGCCCAACCACTTGGATGGTCGGGGATTGAATGCAGACCTGCATGAAGTGAGACCATTGCTCTACCGTCCAGCCCAAGTGGTTGGACTGGACGGTAGAGAGCGTTATGGAATGTATTCTTGCGATGGTCAGTAATTGACATAATAGATATGATAGACAAAATTGGCAAAGTCATTGAATTCGACAACTGGTGGCTGGAAGGGTGGGGTCCAATAGCTAAAAGGTTGATCCTGCAAGTACAAGGAGGTGAATACATACATACATATATATATTCAGATAAGTAAACTTATACTTACATGTAGAAAGTGAACTTAGGGTTACTGGGTCTGGTAAAAAACCGACCATAAGCTGAGATTCTCTTATTTGGGTCAGCATCTGCGTCCCATGAGACATGTGTCGCCACTATGTAATGCTCAAAGTCCAAATCAAGTCCACTAATAATTCTTCGATGGAAGGAGCTCTGTGGGAAGAGCAGGGTGTCGGTATTGAGATAGATGACCCTCTTCCCGACAATAGCGTCCACTCGACTATCCATGAGTACAGGCAGAAGGAACTTAAAGCCGATTGTAGTCTTCTCGATATTTGGTTCAGTCAGCATATTCCATTCACAAGACAATAACGACTGCCGTTCATTTTTCACATCTAGGTCCATAAGTAAACGATGCTCTGAATGGTTGAGAGTGGCAGCGACCCTGTGAACTCTACCGAACAATTCAAGTTTAATGTCTGTCTTAAGGATGGTCACATTGGAAGAAAACGTGGCTGTGAGTGGTCCTTGAGCGCGAAGAAGGATAAGTTCTCCATGCTTGACGGCGGCTTGAAGCATGTACGATCCTCTCCCTGCTCCGCCGCCTTGCTCTCAAACTTGATGGCTCTCATGTACTCTGGTATGTCCACCTGTTCACGATGAAATATAAGAAGACACTTGAAAAATTAATATTAAATATATTATATAGTTTTTGGGTAACCACAAAGGAAACTGGATATCAGCTCTTTCGTTCTTAAACAAAATCCAGTTTGTTTCTCAACCCTTACACAGCTCCATTCATCGGTTTTTCCCCTTAGATTTGTTAACTCTTTGTAGTCACGTGCAACTTGATGACTTAGTGACTAAATAAATTAATTTAATTGGATTATGCCTCCCAAGACCTGCTGGGTCTATGGAGGCATAATTCCTAAAGGCCTTTGGTTATTGCTTGTCAACTTAAAATAAATTAACAACACAACATTTCTCCCCCATTTCCTTCCTTCTCTCCCCCCTCTTGTCTTTCTCCCAGAAAATGTAATATTACATGGTAGTGAAGAAACAGATAAAAGAATCCAACAGAATACAATGTAATTTCATTTCAAATTTCATGAAAATTGTTGACCATACCACACACTAGAAAGTGAAGGGACGACGACGTTTCAGTCCGTCCTGGACCATTCTCAAGTCAATTGTAATCAACTTTAGAATGGATCGACTTGAGAATGATCGACATTCTCAACGATCAAGCCATATTTCAGCCACGTTATTGTGACTCCTCGTCTTCATGAAAATTGTCAGGGGTTGTAACAAATGCCAATATTTCTTGAAGTGTGCCACTGGTGCTGACCCCAACTAGGCTATGACACTCCCATACCCTCAATATTTCAGGTTGGAAAGGTGAGTGAAGGTAACCCCAAGTGTCAGAAACCACCTCCCTCCTCCTCTTCTCTTCCCTATCCAATTTCTCCCACCTCGAACACAGACATATTTATTTAATACTGAATTATCTTTCTTCACTTTAGAGCGAAGAAATCTAACGACTTGATTAGCCCCTTTTACCAGTTTTGTGAGGGCTCACCATTCGACCTTACCTCTCTGGTAATAGCACCAATAGGACTGACCTCGACCAACCTATGTCTATCCCATACCTCAACCCATTCTTTCTGCAAAGTTAGGTGAGACTAGCCCTAAGCATCTGTCCTCCAGCCGTGGACAGAGATAAAATAGTCACAAAGGCATTCTTTGTTTTATACGCAGTATACTAGAAGGGTATTAATAAACTGTAATGAATAGATATTTTAGGCCATACTGATGCCACATGCTCCAAAATTCTTCTTATTAATTATTTTTATGTATAATAAGGAACATTAATAATTTTATTAGGCAAAAGATGGATAGAAAGATATCAAAGCTTGATAATTTTACAGGCTATAATTTTGTTATAGTGAAAACTTCATTTGACATGCACCGCACTCACCCCAAGTGAACCAAAATACACGATGTGATGTATGACATCATGTCATACATCACATCAGGTTAAGGTAAATCTGGTAAACAAATATGCATCCTGATCAATATTATGCATAATTACTACATTTGTATGTCCTAAAGTGAATATAATCTAGATAACAATGAAGGTAAACACAAAATACAGTACATGTGCTGTACATTGTAAGAAAAAAACAGAAACAATTAAAAAACTTAGTCAATTCACAACAAAATCACAATAATATGACATATGTATGTCATATTATTACCTGTATGACAAAATGTTCGGAGCAGGATGGCGGTATGGAACTAGCATTCTGGGTCACTCCAGACCCCATGCCTTACTAATGCACCGTGATAGGCAAACAGTTACACAACTTGAAGTCTGCTCGGACCCACTAGGAGTCTGGAGGCACCGAGCCGGTAGCCATCACAACTTAAAGTCTGCTCGGACCCACTAGGAGTCTGGAGGCACCGACCTGGTAGCCATCACAACTTGAAGTCCGCTCGGACCCACTAGGAGTCTGGAGGCACCGACCTGGTAGCCATCACAACTTGAAGTCTGCTCGGACCCACTAGGAGTCTGGAGGCACCGACCTGGTAGCCATCACAACTTGAAGTCCGCTCGGACCCACTAGGAGTCTGGAGGCACCGACCTGGTAGCCATCACAACTTGAAGTCCGCTCGGACCCACTAGGAGTCTGGAGGCACCGACCTGGTAGCCAATCAAAGTTTTACATACAACACGCTAACACTCTGGAGTAGGTAAAGGAGTTCCCACCAAATGCTTTCATCAACACAATGAAATCTCAATAATATGATATATCTATAAGAAAAACTCTGAAGAAGGATGGCAGAATCAAACCACCATTGTGGATTGACCAGACCACACACTAGAAGGTGAAGGAACGACGACGTTTCGGTCCGTCCTGGACCATTCTCAACTTGAATCGACTTGAGAATGGTCCAGGACGGGCCGAAACGTCGTTGTCCCTTCACCTTCTAGTGTGTGGTCTGGTCAACATACTTCAGCCACGTTATTGTGACTCATCGCCACCATTGTGGATGTGCACCTTACCAGTGGACCCTAGATGTGCATATCCTAGATCTTTATCCTCTTTAGCATATCATGGTCTATTGGTAAAGCATCACTTTAATGTGATTCTGTTAATGTACTTGGTGGGAGTGTTTGTTGAAGAACTCCATTACGTAAACTGGAGTGTGTGCAGGTTTAATGTAATCTTGGATTGGCTACCAGCTTGGTGTCTCCAGATTCCTAATGGGTCAAGGGGGGACTACAGGTTGAATAACCTTTACCCTATTATGGTCTATTGGTAAGGCGTGCAGTTGGGGGTGACACAAAAGTTGATTCACTTCCGCTGTTCTGCCTCAAAGATTTTCACATTAGCCAATATTTACTATACTTACAACTCAAGTGAAAGTTATGTTCCACTCTGGCAGTATTTATACAGTGTAGAGTCGTGTAAGCTTACCAAGACTAAGGTGTAGCATGACTGGTCAGACCTATCATTCATGACTTCCAGGTCCGCCACCTTCACACCGTCGCTAGCGCGAATTACTTCCAGAGATGCTCCTTTTTTCAGGTCTTCATAGAAGATGGTGGAAGATGTTTTGTACCCAGTACTACCTATTTTTACTAAGGAAATAAAGTTTTCATAAAAAAGAAATACCCCTAAATCATTATTCCTGGCTGTTATTTTATCATATTAAATTACCTTTTTATTGTGTAATCAAAAAATATATATATATGTTGAAGCAATATCAATATATTTTAAATATTTTAAAATTATAGTACATGTAATCAATAACTACAATTACCTTTAGCTTTTGTTTTGGTGACAAAATTTTGGTTCAAAGTTCCTTTTGTTGTGTGGGAGGCCACAACATTCACCAGGTCTTCATTCCTCTTTGTAATCTTGAAGGAAGATGAATGCTCAGCGCTCTCCCCAGATTCTTTAGTCTGATGAATGAAGGAGATGATTTGCCAGTCAGATATCTCGCCATGGAACTCAAACTTGCGCAGTTTAGTCAGCATAAGAATGTAGGGGAACGTGGTGTGCCTCAGGTCTGCTCCAACTGCATGTAAATACAGCATAGCAAAGTAAATATATAAATTAATTTGTCAAAACTCAATTTTATGTGGTTTGACATTTTATGCATTCCTGCGAATCTAGTAATGAATTAATATATGTACTCCTAATCATGCTTAAAGATATATCACTGAATAAACATTCTTAAAGATATATATCACTGAATAAACATTAACTTACATTCTATATCTGAGACAAAGTAGTTTCTTAGGGCATTCTTTATCGTGAATAAGAAGTCCACAGACATATTACATTCTCTGAATCTCCCGACAAACTTGCTCTCGAATATTTGTGATTCAGGAGGGAAGTATCTATTCCGGCTAATGTAGATGTCTAATTCATATTTGTTCTTTGTTGGCGTTGACTCGGTTATGACATCTATCTTAATGCCACGAGATAATTCTGTCCGGTTAGACTTGTAGTTAGCATAAACTTCGACACCCTTGTGACCTTCCTCATTGATGATGGTGACCCAGATTCCACTGGTAACAGCAGATGATCTTAATCGAGCAGAAATAACGCAAGCATTTCCTTGAATGATGTGGGATAGAGTTACTTCAGCCTCTTTTGGTGTTGAAGAACCGGATGATTCTACCTTCACTACCGCCATCTTACTTTCTTTCTTGTCCTGAGTGACTACTGTCATACGATAACCCGTCAAAGACGATTCTTCCTTCTCGACGTATAGCTTGGCAATGGTCGGGGCCCCAAATGGCAGGGAGTTGCTACGGAAGATATCCGGGATGTCCAGTTCATAACATAACTTCAGACCTAGAATGGGTTCAAGATTGTTGATACATGACTGGGTTCTTATTCTGATGTCCTTCATGGATGGTGGGATGATCTTGGTCTCTGGGCTGCCTCTCTCACTCTTCATGAGGTATGTCTCACTCTTCACATTAATAAGTTCTATATGTTCAGGAAGATCCCATTGAACTTCCATCTCATTCTGCTCAGTATTGTTCTGTGGCTTAACATTGAGAGTGGCGCCGTATATCTTGGACAAGGTGGTATTTGCCTTGATTCCTGTCTTAGTGAGGAATGTATCATACCCAATAAACCCATCAGTGTATACAGACACACTAGGAATAATCTTAATAGTATTATTGCCCTTCTTCCAATTATATAAGAAGTCTAAAGGATTGAGATTGCCTTCTATTTGCAGCCCAGTAACAGCCGTTCCTTCCATCATGAGTTTGAATGGTGTACCCTGAATGGTGGGGAAGGAGTAGTCAAAACTAATCTGAAATGTTCGAGCTATATTGACGTTCAAGGTTTTAATTTGGTTCAGGATATCACTGATGTATGATAATAAGAATTCAGTCATTTTATCAACACTAATGTCTTTCACTTCTCCAGAAAATGAAGCAAAACTAATCTCTTGGCCCATAAAGCGAGCAAAAATATCAGCCTGAATAGTTTTGAGTTTGTCACTATTATAGATCTTCTCAAATATTTCAGTTGCATGGGAAAAGTCAACGGATCGTTTAGTTCTCAGCTGGTGCAGGAAATGCTCAAATATTGTTCCACCCGTTTGTTTAATAAACCGAGTCACATCTTTTAAAATTTGTCTTAAACTAGTTTTCTGGACGTATCCTTCAGGACCAAATATTTCCTCGAAGATGGGTTCCAAACCCTCAAGCCGGACTCCAACCTCGCCTAAGTTCATTAAGATTCCCTCTAAGGCGGCGGTGAGGTTGAAGTCAATAGAGCGAGGGACAAAGGATCCCGGAGAGTAGATGATGTTGGACTCCACGCCGGCACCAGCCCCCAGGGCCGGCGAGAAGTACGCTAGGTCTATATTGCGAGAATATTTTCTTATGTCCTTATTAAAGTTCCTAGGAATCACAATATTTGATAAAAGATACCGGATTTCTACTTTCTCAGGTGCATATGATTGCTGGAGGTTAAGAAGATGGCTCAAAATAAATCCACGAACTGAAAAATAAAAATACATATACATTAAAAATATTCTCAGATAACTTACATTTTCTGTAATGTGCATTTAACATTTTCAGTTATAAAAATGTATGAAAAATAAGTACACATATACCTTGTGTATTTTCCTCTTGAGAAATTTTGGTAATAATCAATTCTAAGTTCTTCTTCTCAGCACACCGAACTGCCATAAGATAGGCTGCAATCCGAACCTCAGAGGCCATTGCAATATCAACAGAAAAATTTACAAGCTGCTCTGTTGACTGTTGGGTGAGAATAGTGAAAATAATTCATGGAGTTTTATTTTTTCTGATTAATTTTATTATACTGTATTGTGATATGTATATTCAGAAATACATTAGTATATATTTGGGAATAATAATGCATTTAAAAACTTACCTGGTGATGACATTTTGTTTGTCTGAAGGCTTGTGCGGCGGCCACGCGGATGTTGTTCTTAACACCTTCTGTTTCCATGCATCTGAGGACAGACCTGGCCACCTCTTGGGTCATTATGCCCATGTTACCCAGAGCCTTAAGTGTTGTCAGGGCAGCTTTTTCTGTCTCTTCATCGTCAGAAGGAGAACACTGTCTTTGTAGTTTGTGACCTAGAGCTTCAGCTAGGCTCTTAACTGGTTCTATTTCATCGCAGTTGTGATTATGCCGGCAGTAAGTATTGACCAGAGAGGCACCAGCCAGGGTTGCCATTGGTAGAGGATGAGCAGATTCGAACAATGGCTTGAGAGCGACCATGGCATGGATACTTGGACGGGGAAGACTGAATAAAGCTGCTGAGTAGAGGGCTCGACGAACTACCGAGGTGTGTCCACTTGTCAGCTCCTTTACCATAACCTTTACGGAACCAGACTCATGGATGAAAACAACAACGTCCAGAAAAAGTTGCTCTAGTTTCTTGTGATCTTGACAAAACTGTCCGCTGCGGATTTTGTCCAAAGTTTGTGTTATGGCTTCCTCAGGGACTCGTCGCAGGAGTTGTGCAGCCTTGGCTACCAGAGCAGCAACATCACGCTCAACGGCATCTTTAGTCTTCTCACAGATCTGCTTCATGGTCTGGTCCAACTGGGCCACCATGGACGGGTCCTTCTTGAGGGTATCGTAGTCATACCGGAGACTCTTGCGTTCCATGTTAGCTTGAGGGATGGCAGAGGCGGCAGCTGATTGGTCGTTGGATTCTGAGATGAATCTCAGAGTGGACTCCTGTCTGGCTTCAATATACTTATAGAGACCATAGCTGGGTCTGACCACGTTCTCATCCTCACAGGTGATGCTGGAGTAGATTCCGTTCTTGATCTCTTGTTGACACATAGAGTGGGACTTTTCCAGTGGCAGAAGACCTTTGAGCCAGGGAACCTGGGTCTCAGCAGGGGTCGGGTAACGCTGCTTACACACTCGGTGGTTCTTCTCCTTCTTCATAATGACTCTATCTCGATGGTTGTGCACCTCGTACCTCGTTGGGCACGTTCCTAACACATCCGTCTGTCGAGAAAAGTTCAGTTAAGAAAATATATTTGAAGATAACGATATGGGTGAAATTAAAGCACTCATAATATGAAACTTTTGCTGAATGCTATAGTAGATATTTTTGGATGATAAATGCTCTTGTCAGATATTTATAACATAAAAGATAAAAATATTTTGGATGTTTTTTTATTTAGTATGTGCCATATCTATTAATGAGAATATCTGTGTCTGTCAGTCTGTTTGATGTTGGTGACCAGACTCTTTCTGCTAGGCTCACCAAACTTAGCAGGATGACTGATCATTGTCCAGGGATGGTTATAGATGGGTTTGGATCAAGCCCCATAACCCCCCCCCCACCCTCCCCTTTTACATGAAATGGTAAATTACACTAATTTACAATCTCACTAAATACCAGATTCTATCCTCACAAAGATTCATCTAGCACATTACCTTCATGATGATTAAATGTTAGTTTAGACAGTACGAGAGAGGAGTGCAAATAAAGGTGTGTGCTTCTACCAGCTCCCTTTGAAACAAAATAAAAGTATCACGTGTTTGTTGGCGTCGGTGTCTTTTCCAGGTCAAACACTGATGGTATACAGTTCCAGCTCAGTACGATTTCCAGTAGGCAGGGGAAGGGAATTATTAGGGGAAAGCACCAAGCCATTATAACTATATAGCATTTGGAAGGGGTCAGGATATGGATTTGGGATGGGATGGGGGGGGGAAGGAATGGTGCCCAACTACTTAAGCGATTGGGGATTGAACACCAAACTGCATGAGGCGAGACCGTCACTCTACCGTCCACCCCATGTTGTTGCATTCCACTAGTCACATGAGGTATAGAAAGAAATGGAGTGGAAGGCAACATCTAATAATGTGTTGTGAAAAAGAAGGAGGGTTTGGGTGAGACATATCCGATAGGTTGGAAAGACTAGCATGGAGGGTGAAGAGATTCCAATCCACCTTGTTGACCAGACCACACACTAGAAGGTGAAGGGACGACGACGTTTCGGTCTGTCCTGGACCATTCTCAAGTCGATTCAGAATTCTCAATCGACTTGAGAATGGTCCAGGACGGACCGAAACGTCGTCGTCCCTTCACCTTCTAGTGTGTGGTCTGGTCAACATACTTCAGCCCCGTTATTGTGACTCATCGTCTCCAATCCACCTTATCAAATCACCACCGAGGAAAAGAAAGAGGGTGAAAAGAAAAAGAGGGTTATAAGGATGGGCACCTTTATGGAGGTTATTGAGGACCTTTCACATTAGGTCTATAGAAAAAGAAGAAGAGCAGAGAGAAAGATCAATGCAGGAAACGATGCAAGTGCATGAATCAACATGAACTGACTAGCTGGAATTCACAAGAGACAATGAAGAAGAGAATACAAAAGGTTCTAGAAGCCGGCATAGGGTATCCATTAGATCATCGCCCCAAAGGGCATGCCGACACTTAAAAATCACTTAAAGGAAGTACAGGCACCAGTAATGAAACCAAAAGGTGTTTAAGATCAGGAAGAGAAAAAGAAGTATGTGAGGGAGAGAGAGATAAATGGAACAGACAGTATACTATTTACGCACAAAGATACAGGAAACAGAGGAATGAATGTTCCAATGAAGAAGTAGGGGAGAAGGGACAAAGGGAATATCATACTGGATCAAGAAAGCAGGACAGATAGGGGTCTGAACAAAAGCTGGAGGGAAGGAAAGAAAGGAATAACTGCGGAAGTGACTGGGATGAGTGCTAAGCATCATCTCCCAGAGACAAAAAAAAAAAACAGTGAAAACTGTGAGATCAGAAATTGGAGTTCATAAAAATTGGCATAAAAACCATGTATATTCTATTGATGAACAGACATAGTAAAGAACAGAGATAACAGGAAAAAGGAGATAAAATAGGCCCAAGAAGGATACAGGCTACTAGGGAAGATCAGGAACAGGTTCACTGTAAATCCAGCAAAGATGGTGGACTGGAGAGGGTGACGGGAAGCACAGGTGAACTGACAGGGTCCGGTAAGGAAGGAGGCACTTGGGACAGGGAAGTGGGGTGTCCGGTCAAGACAGTGGTGCTGACGAAGGACAGAAACGGCAGCGTGCACTGGATCAGGGACAGTGCCCGAAGTAGAATCAGAAGAGCTACTGGAACTTCCATAGCCAGGTCAGCCTACGCCACGACTGAGGTGGCAGGAGATGCAAGAACAAAGACAAGTGGAAGCTGGGGGAAGGACAGAAGCTTCCTTACCTATTTAGGAGAGAGAGGGGAACCAGGTTTATGTTTATGATTAGGAGACACAGGCATGCCAGTAACAATGTACTATTGTAACACCCTCTACTCGGGCTGGGAGAACGAGAGTGGAGAAAACAAAGACGTCTGGGAGGAAGATGGATATCAGCCTGGATGGACATTTATCAAGAAGGGCCAGAGGGCAGACGACAGAGAGAAGGGAAGAGAAGAAAGACATGATCGAAAGATGAAGGAGATCACATTGAATATAGAAGGGGAAAGAGGTGAAGAAGTTACACAAATATTGCAGGTAGGGGAATTCTGTGAAGTAATGACGGAAGGAAGGATGGAAATGCTGGTCAGTGATCCTTAAAGAACATCTTTGGCCTCAGATGATAGAGGAGTGGGAGAGGGGGAGCTGTTGGTGTCAAGCAAGTTTAAGGCTTGGAAGCGGTTGTGGAACTGAGGAAGGAAAGGATGGGGAAGGGTAGGTGCAACACAATACACGGGCATAATTCGTGTCAGAGAAAGAGTTAAAACAGTGGACCTGGTGTCTTGCCTAGGGAAAAGACACATATGATCACAATGTTTTAGTTTGAAGATGACTTGTTCAAATGTATCACTAGTACATGCACGTGCAGGAGAAGGCAGGGTGCGTGTCACTGCAATTGATGCAGGACACGTGCGGAGAAGAACACTCTGCTTTATGATGGCCAGGGTCACCACACAAGGGACAAAGGGACATATCGCTACTGCACTTCAAGGAACCATGCATTCCTATAGGGAGCACCTGGCACCGGCAAGAATTATGGAAGATGAAACGGTCCTACCATAAAACGTGCTCATTAATGACAACGACCACGAAGGTGGTCGGGTCAACATGTCAATCTGCAAGATAGAATAGCCTTGGGTCTCAAGAATATATTTAATATCTTCATGGAATTCTTTGAGTTTCCTATCTCCAGTCGGAACATCATGCAGAAGAATGACTGTGCCAATGGTGACATTTAATTACGCATCGTTGGAGACCCAAACCAGGGGCTCACCATTGCAGGACAATGTAGCTGGGCAGGCAGCTGCCTCCTGTGAAGGGGCTTCATAGACGCATGTATCAGTCCGTGTGGGGGATAAAGGTAATATAAGTATCTACAGAGTCAACAGGGTGCTTATTTATGTGTAAATCATCAGCGGTGTGAGGAGATAGATTCACTAGCTATCTTAAATGTGTGATAGTGATTGCATAGTGACATTTTGAAGTCCTCACAGTGCACCAGAGTGTGTGCACTCAGTTAAGTTCCTTTATTATGAGATTTGACCCCTGCCTTGTTGGGTATCCTATGACAGCTCTTGTCATCAGGATTCCATTGGTACCACGTTGGCCGACGTGAGTATCCACATTCAGCAATTACAGCAAGGTGTAATATATAGAAGTTAGAAACTCCAGGGGTTGAAAAATCCAGAATTAGAGTGAGATGGTATTCTGACTGTCTTGTGGTCAAGAAGGGTAAGCCCTTCCAACTGTCAAGTAACAACTAGGCCTGTCCTATGACGTCACAACTAGCACCACCCTGAGCCAAGGTTCTGATAGGGGGAGGCATCAGTGTCTGGTACGAGATTGGCCCATTTCAAAGAACAGAGAAGTATGGAGAGGAACCAGCCTGGAACCAGCGGCCCACGCTGTCCACCTCATTCTGTCTTGAGTCGCTTGCCTGAGTAAGACGTGAGAGTCTGTGCTATCGGCCAATAGTACAGATCTCGTGTTAATGGGACCCTACTCGAAATCTCGTCTCCAGATCACATTTCATCTAGCGTGCCCGCCTGTTAGAATCCGGTCCATGACATTTGCCAATTGATAGCAAGACGAGTAATATGAGGTGAGATAATAATTGTGCCCACCACATGTGTCCACTCACCAGATGCAACAGACTGCCTAAGTGTTCATCAACGATCTTCGCTAACATCCATTAGTGAATTGCTACGAAAGTAATCTAGAGTGAACAAGCATTGATTCCACAGTGTGCTGTCAATTTCTCTGATTGAGATAACTGTATTTTCGACATATTTGTGGACTTTAGTGTTTGCCGCCAAATCACCATGCTGCCGCCATCCAGTGTCACACCTCGTGGGTTGCCACCCAGTGTTAGTGTGCGCGAACATCACCCTTGCGTAGACACGACTCGCCTTACCGCCTGTGCCGCACTCCACGGAACCACAGAGCCCTGAATCTCTGCCGAACATGCCACCTGGGCCACACCACGTGCACCCAGTGTACCCCACGTGTCTCGCATGTAACCACGTGCGATCTACGTGCTTCAGCCCCTCAAACACCTTCCACCTGTGTGATTATTACTCGCATGTACCACGTGCGGAGATTGCCGGAGAATTCATCGATACATTTACAAAGGTCAACATTGTATGGATGCATGGTTTGAATAATGAGGCCAGTCTTTGAGTGAGTACATATATTTCCTTTTTGTTATCGTGTTTTCCTTGTGTTGATTTAATATCAACCCACTGACCAGACATTGTCTCGCAACACTTGCAACGGGTGTGAGCAGCGTAGTCGAGGAAACACTGAACAATTGTCGATTACAGCCGTCTGTGTGACTTCTGTAATTTGTCATTGCATGAGTGTATGTGTTACACACCTCCATACATTTAGTAAATTGTTATACTGATTGTGCATGTGATTGTACTGTTTAATTATATCGTTGTTATCAATATATTCATATTGAATTGTGGCACTGTTTTCTTTTCTATCTTTTTCCAGTAAACCAGAGAAAGTGTAAGTCACTTGAGTGGGGTTGTCTATGTGATGATACCCTGTGATTATTTATTTTAGGTGATTCTCACTTGATTAATTCATGCTGTCATTAATGAAGAGTTGTACTTAGTGCATTTTTGTACAGGTGTTATAAGAGTATTGTGCATTGATTTGCAGTGTCAAGTGTTATCTTGTTACTGGCTCGTCTGTGTGACAAGCAATAATTAATAGTAACTAGTATTAATTATTAAAGTCAGTTAATGTAATTATTGAAGTGTTAATTATTTCTAGTTTAGTAAACTGATTTAACGTGTGTTATTAACATAATTAATTATTTGGAATTTGAAGATTGTCTTAAGTGACAAGTCTGGCATTGTTTTGATTGTTATTTGTCAATTTTTTTGTATTGCAAGTGTTGATTGCAATTGAGTCCGAGTGTACACTAATGTTCAGTTAGTTCACTTTGTTTTCTTGGCCTGGCTAGAGGGTCTGAGAAGAGGTCTGGTGACTGTCAGAGTGGTGGGAGCGTTTTCCTGCTGCGGCTGACATTGTGTTTAGCTGTGAAGTGACACTCGAGAATTAATATAATATTACCTTGTTGTTGCTGTATATTAGTTAGTAAGTTTGTTGAATAAAGTGTTGTTAATGATCTTGTGATTTACTGGTTTCAGCTCTTGGGACCAAACCCAACAGCACACTCACTAAATACTAAATTTGTTGTGAGAATCTAGTAAATACCCACTAGATTGCTTAGCAGTAGAGGAGTTAACGACCTAGAGATTTGTGGTTCAAACTATTGGACCAAAATATTAGACCTCAGGGTTTAGTAATCTTCACATCTGGTGCCCAACCAGGGGCTACTGGTGGGTGTTTAAGGCAACTTAACTAGATCCAAAGAAAAATGTCACAAGCGGTGTGTATACTCATCATGACTAATATAAAAATAATAACTGGGCCATGTTGCAGATCACAGACTATAGCAGTGATTGAAGGAACCATGCATGTTTGAGTACTGTGATATTCGTGATCTCCCATTAAGGAAAGAGGGTAGAAGGCACAGTTGCCTCAACGATTGATGGAGCCACTCCAGGTGATGAGGTAGCTTGGAGCTCAACCCTACTAAGGAAGTGGGCTGACGAGCGGAGGGATTCAGTTAGGATGGCCAAAGATGAAGCCTACAGAGCCCTAATCTTACATTATTGTCTGACTCAGGGGCCTGGCCGCCCTCTCTACGAGCCTATGTTTGAGAAGTCATTTCAGCTGTCATGCATCATTATTTACAAAATTTGGGCTCCAGGTATACCACCAACCAGGGCAGCATGGGTGGCTAAGCACTGCCCAGTGCAGGGCGGGGTGCATCATCTCAAGCGGTGGTAACCCTGTGATGATTTCGGGGCTCAACGTTCCTGCAGCCCAGTCCCCGACCAGGCCACCTTTTTAACATAATAGTCATACTGTGTTGTATATTCTCCTACACTAGTGCAAAGGCCTCTTTCTCCCTCTTACCCCAGCCTGGACACCCAATCAGCCTGCAAGGATGACCCCCCGAGCAGGGGGCTCCAGTGACCTGAACGGGAACTCTACGTTTATTTAATATTGCACGACACTAGCCAGAGAGGGGCAAGAGGGCAGGGCCCAGGCAGCCTCCACTACCTCCAGGAAGTCATACGTGAGTCCCCTCTTCATGACAGGTCAAAACTCTTTAGAGGTTAATGAAGAATAGTATATTTCAAATATTTCAAATATTAAAAAATATGCTTCCTGGGCACACTGACATTGCAAGATCCTTTTAATAAGGATCAATTTTAATAAGGATTTTTAATCAGTAACAATGAAAAGTACACAATAAGCACTGTCATGCTTATTCAATTATTACAGTAAAAACTAATTACATTACCTCAATGACATTTTGACCAGTGTAGAAGGATGAATTGGATGGGAGAGAGTTCTGGAAGATTGAGGCGACGCCCTTCTTCATGTTGATGGACCAGGCGTCGTCATCATGATGACTACACACGTGTTGAACCCGGCCGTCGGCCACCGCCACCACCAGCGGGTACCTCTCCAGGAACCTGGCGGCTGCTGGCACTGGCAGAGGTAGTGGCAACATTAGACTATGATGAACCTTGGAGGACACCAGGAGTACATCTGCTGGCAACACCAGACCAGGACTGGCCAGGGTGGACACCAGGAGTACATCTGCTGGCAACACCAGACCAGGACTGGCCAGGGTGGACACCAGGAGTACATCTGCTGGCAACACTAGACCAGGACTGGCCAGGGAGGACACCAGGAGTACATCTGCTGGCAACACTAGACCAGGACTGGCCAGGGAGGACACCAGGAGTACATCTGCTGGCAACACCAGACCAGGACTGGCCAGGGAGGACACCAGGAGTACATCTGCTGGCAACACTAGACCAGGACTGGCCAGGGAGGACACCAGGAGTACATCTGCTGGCAACACCAGACCAGGACTGGCCAGGGAGGACACCAGGAGTACATCTGCTGGCAACACCAGACCAGGACTGGCCAGGGTGGACACCAGGAGTACATCTGCTGGCAACACCAGACCAGGACTGGCCAGGGAGGACACCAGGAGTACATCTGCTGGCAACACCAGACCAGGACTGGCCAGGGTGGACACCAGGAGTACATCTGCTGGCAACACCAGACCAGGACTGGCCAGGGAGGACACCAGGAGTACATCTACTGGCAACACTAGACCAGGACTGGCCAGGGAGGACACCAGGAGTACATCTACTGGCAACACTAGACCAGGACTGGCCAGGGAGGACACCAGGAGTACATCTACTGGCAACACTAGACCAGGACTGGCCAGGGAGGACACCAGGAGTACATCTGCTGGCAACACTAGACCAGGACTGGCCAGGGTGGACACCAGGAGTACATCTGCTGGCAACACCAGACCAGGACTGGCCAGGGAGGACACCAGGAGTACATCTGCTGGCAACACCAGACCAGGACTGGCCAGGGTGGACACCAGGAGTACATCTGCTGGCAACACCAGACCAGGACTGGCCAGGGAGGACACCAGGAGTACATCTACTGGCAACACTAGACCAGGACTGGCCAGGGAGGACACCAGGAGTACATCTACTGGCAACACTAGACCAGGACTGGCCAGGGTGGACACCAGGAGTACATCTGCTGGCAACACCAGACCAGGACTGGCCAGGGAGGACACCAGGAGTACATCTGCTGGCAACACCAGACCAGGACTGGCCAGGGTGGACACCAGGAGTACATCTGCTGGCAACACCAGACCAGGACTGGCCAGGGAGGACACCAGGAGTACATCTGCTGGCAACACTAGACCAGGACTGGCCAGGGTGGACACCAGGAGTACATCTGCTGGCAACACCAGACCAGGACTGGCCAGGGTGGACACCAGGAGTACATCTGCTGGCAACACCAGACCAGGACTGGCCAGGGAGGACACCAGGAGTACATCTACTGGCAACACTAGACCAGGACTGGCCAGGGTGGACACCAGGAGTACATCTGCTGGCAACACCAGACCAGGACTGGCCAGGGTGGACACCAGGAGTACATCTGCTGGCAACACCAGACCAGGACTGGCCAGGGAGGACACCAGGAGTACATCTACTGGCAACACTAGACCAGGACTGGCCTGGGAGGGTAAGATTACAATAGTACACTATTGACTAATATATCTAAAGACAATAAGCATCATGTACTGTGCTGAATAATCACAAAATGTGAAGTATAGTTATAAAGTGTATACTCACCGTTGTCACCATCCGTCTTGTAATCTTTCATAGAGATGACCATGTCACAGGGAGTGATCCATGACACCTCAACTTGTGCTGACCAACTCGTCTCTGTGTGTCCACCTTCCACACCCTCGAGCTTAACCTTGGAGTTTCCGGAGTACGCGTAAGCGTAGGTCTTTCCTGGTTGGTAGAAGAACTTGGGGGCGCCGGCGACGGGACACTCCCTTGAGCATACTGACGTGTCTCCTCCACCAGGTGCTAAAGAAGACCATTTTCTTCAATAAACTATGACTAGCTAAAAATTATAATAAAATAATTACAACGTTATAAAATCCTGATGCCTAAAATTTAATTAGAAGAGGATACATATATAAACAGACTGACATTAATCTCAGCACAATTTTCTTCAGATATTGAATTAAAGATTTTCTTAATTTCAAGATAAATTATATAATAAAACGTCCAGTAATCGAAAGCCTCAATTTCTATAGTGGAGTGCCATACAAACAATGTGATTGAGAAGCAATGAGGTCTACTTTAGTGCTTGTGACTCTCCTTACTTATGTTAGACGGGCACATGACTTATTTTCCCTTGCCTTTTGAAACAATACTTAGACTTTCTAATATGTACAAATCTAGTTTCAATTCAACATTTGAATTGCTAATGTTTATCCTTTCCTCAAGAGCCAAAAATCAAGAGAAAATAGGTGAACACTATGCAGGCGATGAGTCACAATAACGTGGCTAAAGTAGGAGAATGGTCCAGGACGGACCGAAACGTGGTCGTCCCTTCACCTTCTAGTGTGTGGTCTGGTCATCAGTTAGGCAAGTGTTGTGGGCGGCCATCTTGGTGAAAGTCAGTAGTGTGCCAAATCACCTGGGGAAGGTTCCTTCTCCTTGACCCAGCCCGTCCTCCAAACAAAGACCCAAAATTGATTCCATCCACCCGCCAAACCCCAGCTGTTTGTGAATGAAAAACGGTTTACACACGACTCACAACTCATTTCGTCCGAACACTTCCGGAACAAGTGCTTCACTGACGAATTTTGTTCGAACAACAACGCTGTAAATGCTTCACCCACGTACTACAAATACAAATAATCGCCAACAGAACCTAAACACCTAAACTAACCTATGCCTATATATATATGTACAATGTGCTAATATATTATAATATTCATTTATATTTGAGAGAATTCCCGTTTTGAATGAACAGCATGTTAAAATTTATGAATGCGTCTGTGGGGTCGACCGTTGAATGGAATGAAGTTGAGTCGAGGACGGGTTGTCCTGACCTTGGGATACCATGAGGTGAACTAAAATATTTCAATAAAAAACTGATCACACTTTTACTTCAGTTAACCCAATATATTGTATATTTGCACTGGATAAATTTTATCTAGATTTTTAGATAACTAAAATATAGTTATATTTCACTCCCCCCCCCCCCAAAACAAAATCTGATTACTACATTTTTTTTCTTTCTTTTCACAACCTTGTTGACACATTACCCAAGTTAGTTATAATATACCTCTCTATACAACTATAATAAAATTATTATAGCTGTACAGAGCTGTTCTAGCTGTCTATACAGCTATAATAAAAATTTGTTATTGTTATTAGTTAAATTAACTGCAGAATAGCTAACTGTAGTTACAGATGGGCTAATTTTAATTAGATTACTGAATTTACAATCTAAACAGACCTCCTCAGTATTTATCAAGTTAGAACCCTTATAGATGTCTCGTACAGTGACCTACTCCCACCACCACACGTCTGGCTGTAAACCTGTGGCTTAGCTTCCTTCTCCACTCACAATTAGGGGCCCAGGGTTCGATTCCCGGGCAGGACAGAAATCGCTAGGCACTCTTTCTTTCACTTAATGACCGGCTCACCTAGCAGTATATACGTAACCAGGAGTGAGGCAGCTATGTCGAGGCTGCATCCTGGGAAAATGTCAGTAACTAGGCTTTGAGAGGCCCGCGATCACACCTACAGTATTCACACACACACAGGCTACCTGTTCCCAACAAAACGAGTTCATTATTTAATAAGATTCACACATATGTTTATGTAAAACTAGTGATTAAATTAGTCAGCCGTTGAATTCGAATTATTGAATTATTGTCAGCCGTGTTGAATTAGGCTTCCACTAATGAAAGGCCGCTGTGCCTCTGACGTCACAGGCACTTGAACTCCTGAGAGTGGCAGTTTTTTTTTTTATTATTATTTCCTACCACAGACGTGGCCACACATTTACAATGCTAACCAGCATATATACATTTTCTTCTGCAAGTAGTATAAAAAGAATGCAACAATTTTCCCTTAAACTTTACAAATATTAATGGTAAATCTGCCCAAAATGTGTGTACTGTTGATATGAAAAGTACACAAAATTTCTACTATTTATTTATTTACATACGTTGAAAAAATCTAGCCTCGCTTGGTTACATGATATTTGCACTTATAGTAATTTCTAATTGGTGTACTTGTTAAGATATGATACGGATATAGCATCTAAAATCCTCAATGGTACGGAAAGACATTTTTGTTCCGACCAGCAGGAAAAAAAATTATGATTGTAAGAAATCGAAACCACAAGTAATTGTCTTACTTACAAGTAAACAGATTTGTCTATGATATTCTCCTAATAGCTTAGTGAAGAGTAACACTGAGTGGTGGCAGAGTAACACTGTGTGGTGGCAGAGTAACACTGTGTGTGGTGGCAGAGTAACACTGTGTGGTGGCAGAGTAACACTGTGTGGTGGCAGAGTAACACTGTGTGTGGTGGCAGAGTAACACTGTGTGTGGTGGCAGAGTAACACTGTGTGTGGTGGCAGAGTAACACTGTGTGTGGTGGCAGAGTAACACTGTGTGTGGTGGCAGAGTAACACTGTGTGTGGTGGCAGAGTAACACTGTGTGTGGTGGCAGAGTAACACTGTGTGGTGGCAGAGTAACACTGTGTGTGGTGGCAGAGTAACACTATGTGTGGTGGCAGAGTAACACTGTGTGTGGTGGCAGAGTAACACTGTGTGTGGTGGCAGAGTAACACTGTGTGGTGGCAGAGTAACACTGTGTGTGGTGGCAGAGTAACACAGTGTGGTGGCAGAGTAACACTGTGTGTGGTGGCAGAGTAACACTGTGTGTGGGGGCAGAGTAACACTGTGTGTGGTGGCAGAGTAACACTGTGTGTGGTGGCAGAGTAACACTGTGTGGTGGCAGAGTAACACTGTGTGTGGTGGCAGAGTAACACTGTGTGTGGTGGCAGAGTAACACTGTGTGTGGTGGCAGAGTAACACTGTGTGGTGGCAGAGTAACACTGTGTGGTGGCAGAGTAACACTGTGTGTGGTGGCAGAGTAACACTGTGTGGTGGCAGAGTAACAGAGTAACACTGTGTGGTGGCAGAGTAACACTGTGTGTGGTGGCAGAGTAACACTGTGTGGTGGCAGAGTAACACTGTGTGTGGTGGCAGAGTAACACTGTGTGTGGTGGCAGAGTAACACTGTGTGTGGTGGCAGAGTAACACTGTGTGTGGTGGCAGAGTAACACTGTGTGGTGGCAGAGTAACACTGTGTGGTGGCAGAGTAACACTGTGTGTGGTGGCAGAGTAACACTGTGTGTGGTGGCAGAGTAACACTGTGTGGTGGCAGAGTAACACTGTGTGGTGGCAGAGTAACACTGTGTGGTGGCAGAGTAACACTGTGTGTGGTGGCAGAGTAACACTGTGTGTGGTGGCAGAGTAACACTGTGTGGTGGCAGAGTAACACTGTGTGTGGTGGCAGAGTAACACTGTGTGTGGTGGCAGAGTAACACTGTGTGTGGTGGCAGAGTAACACTGTGTGTGGTGGCAGAGTAACACTGTGTGGTGGCAGAGTAACACTGTGTGTGGTGGCAGAGTAACACTGTGTGTGGTGGCAGAGTGTGTGGTGGCAGAGTAACACTGTGTGTGGTGGCAGAGTAACACTGTGTGTGGTGTGTGGTGGCAGAGTAACACTGTGTGGTGGCAGAGTAACACTGTGTGGTGGCAGAGTAACACTGTGTGGTGGCAGAGTAACACTGTGTGGTGGCAGAGTAACACTGTGGGCAGAGTAACACTGTGTGGTGGCAGAGTAACACTGTGTGTGTGTGGCAGAGTAACAGTGTGTGTGGTGGCAGAGTAACACTGTGTGTGGTGGCAGAGTAACACTGTGTGTGGTGGCAGAGTAACACTGTGTGTGGTGGCAGAGTAACACTGTGTGTGGTGGCAGAGTAACACTGTGTGGCAGAGTAACACTGTGGTGGCAGAGTAACACTGTGTGTGGTGGCAGAGTGTGGTGGTGGCAGAGTAACACTGTGTGTGGTGGCAGAGTAACACTGTGTGTGGTGGCAGAGTAACACTGTGTGTGGTGGCAGAGTAACACTGTGTGTGGTGGCAGAGTAACACTGTGTGGTGGCAGAGTAACACTGTGTGGTGGCAGAGTAACACTGTGTGTGGTGGCAGTGTGTGTGGTGGCAGAGTAACACTGTGTGTGGTGGCAGAGTAACACTGTGTGTGGTGGCAGAGTAACACTGTGTGTGGTGGCAGAGTAACACTGTGTGTGGTGGCAGAGTAACACTGTGTGTGGTGGCAGAGTAACACTGTGTGTGGTGGCAGAGTAACACTGTGTGTGGTGGCAGAGTAACACTGTGTGTGGTGGCAGAGTAACACTGTGTGTGGTGGCAGAGTAACACTGTGTGGTGGCAGAGTAACACTCTGTGTGTGGTAGCAGAGTAACACTGTGTGTGGGGGCAGAGTAACACTGTGTGTGGTGGCAGAGTAACAGTGTGTGTGGTGGCAGAGTAACACTGTGTGTGGTGGCAGAGTAACACTGTGTGGTGGCAGAGTAACACTGTGTGGTGGTGGCAGAGTAACACTGTGGTGGTGGCAGAGTAGCACTGTGTGGTGGCAGAGTAACACTGTGTGTGGTAGCAGAGTAACACTGTGTGTGGTGGCAGAGTAACACTGTGTGTGATGGGAGAGTAACACTGTGTGGTGGTGGCAGAGTAACACTGTGTGGTGGTGGCAGAGTAACACTGTGTGGTGGCAGAGTAACACTGTGTGTGGTAGCAGAGTAACACTGTGTGTGGTGGCAGAGTAACACTGTGTGTGGTGGCAGAGTAACACTGTGTGTGGTGGCAGAGTAACACTGTGTGGTGGCAGAGTAACACTGTGTGTGGTGGCAGAGTAACACTGTGTGTGGTAGCAGAGTAACACTGTGTGTGGTGGCAGAGTAACACTGTGTGTGGTGGCAGAGTAACACTGTGTGTGGTGGCAGAGTAACACTGTGTGTGGTAGCAGAGTAACACTGTGTGTGGTGGCAGAGTAACACTGTGTGGTGGCAGAGTAACACTGTGTGTGGTAGCAGAGTAACACTGTGTGTGGTGGCAGAGTAACACTGTGTGTGGTGGCAGAGTAACACTGTGTGTGGTGGCAGAGTAACACTGTGTGTGGTGGCAGAGTAACACTGTGTGTGGTGGCAGAGTAACACTGTGTGGTGGCAGAGTAACACTGTGTGTGGTAGCAGAGTAACACTGTGTGTGGTGGCAGAGTAACACTGTGTGGTGGCAGAGTAACACTGTGTGGTGGCAGAGTAACACTGTGTGTGGTGGCAGAGTAACACTGTGTGGTGGCAGAGTAACACTGTGTGTGGTGGCAGAGTAACACTGTGTGTGGTGGTACAAAACAGAGTAACACTGTGTGTGGTGGCTAGAGTAGCACATGTTATATCTAGAGTACACGTGCTAGAGTCTAGCACATGTTATATCTAGAGTACACGTGCTAGAGTCTAGCACATGTTATATCTAGAGTACATTTGCTAGTCTAGCACATGTTATATCTAGAGTACACGTGCTAGAGTCTAGCACATGTTATATCTAGAATACACGTGCTTGAGTCTAGCACATGTTATATCTAGAATACACGTGCTAGAGTCTAGCAAGTGTTATATCTAGAGTACATATGCTAAAGTCTAGCACATGTTATATCTAGAGTACATGTGCTAGAGTTTAGCACATGTTATATCTAGAGTACATGTGCTAGAGTTTAGCACATGTTATATCTAGAGTACATGTGCTAGAGTTTAGCACATGTTATATCTAGAGTACATGTGCTAGAGTCTAGCACATGTTATATCTAGAGTACATGTGCTAGAGTTTAGCACATGTTATATCTAGAGTACATATGCTAAAGTCTAGCACATGTTATATCTAGAGTACATGTGCTAGAGTTTAGCACATGTTATATCTAGAGTACATGTGCTAGAGTTTAGCACATGTTATATCTAGAGTACATGTGCTAGAGTTTAGCACATGTTATATCTAGAGCACATGTGCTAGTCTAGCACATAGAAAACACTCGATATTTTGAATGATTTAAATGTAAAAATTGCCAGTGAAAGCGAAAATAAACACTAAGAACCCCCAAGATTAAAATAGTACATATATAGAGCACATACTGTAGATATAACATGTGTTATCTGTATTACGATAAAGTCAATAGGCCTAGAATGCTTTACTATAAGTTGTTTTTTCTTAGTTTCTTATGCAATTTTAAAGTGAAAAATTTGGATTAGTTTTTGAACTTTTTCATGGCTTGATGCCCACTATTGATAATTGTTACATGTAGGTTCAACAGTCTGCTTTATGTACTATCATTATAGATGTAATGTGGTTATCAAAACGAGACAAATCATTATAAGCTGGATATGAAGGCTTACCTGCACGGACACCCGCCACTAGGATGAGGGTGAGGAGCTGGGCGGCGAGGGACGTCATAGCTGCGCGGCTCCAGCACCAGCACTGCTCTTCGCGCGGCCGCTTCCACGCCTTTATACCCTCAGCCTCGATGATGCACCCGCCGGCGCCATTTTATTTTATTTATTTTATTTATTTATTTATATACAACAAGGTACATTGGGTATGTGAGAATACATAGCGTGAGGTACATTGGGTATGTGAGAATACATAGCATAGTATTTACAATCTTGTAAAGCCACTAGTACGCGCAGCGTTTCGGGCATTCAAAAACCAACAGCAATTTTGCGTCTTCTGGGCTAATTCCTTTTCCTACCTTAGTGTCGTCTTCATATGTTGTGGTTTAGTCCTGTCTCTAAGTCGTTTGTATATAAAAAGGAGGACCTCAGGACCCCTTGGGCACTCCATTTGTTGCGGCTTCCCGCTCGGGGTTTACCTTCATTAGCCCTATTTCTTTGTTTCCGTTGAAATAATCATGCTCGAATCCAATTTAATATATGCCATCCAGTTCTTATTATTCTGTTTTGAAGCATGGTATCAATAGTTCTGCTAAAGGCATACCGGGAGATGGAGGGGGGGGGGGGGGGGGGAAAGGGGTGTTCCCGTTTCTGTGTGGGTCTCTCTCTCCCCTCATCCCATCTCCCACACCTCTCCTCCCCTTTCCATCTTTCTCTCCAAGATAACCGTTTCCAACTTTCTCCCTCAGGATCCATTCTCTCACCACTCTCCTTTCCTTTCCCTCTCCCCTTATCTCTGCACCCTTTCTCTCAATCTTCCCTTCTTCCACCCTCTCTCATCTCCTCCCTTTCTCCACTTGTCCCCTTCCCTCCTTTCAAACATTCCCCTTCTCTCTCTTCAAGCTTTCCCGCCTTCTCTTTCCTTGTCTTCCCCTCTCTATCCTAACTATCTCTCCCTCCGTCAAAAAAATGTATGGAACTCAGAGACTTGGCCGGCACCTGCCACAGATTACATAGGCAGGGGAGGGAGCAATATTCGGCCCCCCCCCTGTAATAAGACCAATAAGACCAACCCCGGCCAGCCTATGCCTGCCCCGCACCCCACACTATTTACCCTGGGTGAGGCTAGGCCCAAGTGTCTGGCCTCAAACCTCATACAGACAAACATTCTCTTTCATATATATATGTATATATATATATATATATATATATATATATATATATATATATATATATATATATATATATATGTATATCGTACCTAGTAGCCAGAACGCACTTCTCGGCCTACTATGCAAGGCCCGATTTGCTTAATAGGCCGAGTGATTTTCTTTATTTTCAATAAATTGTTTCCAATTGGTTTATTTTATATATTATTATTATATTATATTAAGAACATAAATTATTGACCTAATTATGTTAGTTTAGGTTAGGTTAACATAGGTTAAGTTAGGTTAGGTAGGGTTGGTTAGGTTCGGTCACATATCTACGTTAGTTTTTTTTTTTTTTTTTTTTTTTTTTTTTGAGATATATACAAGAGTTGTTACATTCTTGTACAGCCACTAGTACGCGTAGCGTTTCGGGCAAGTCCTTAATCCTATGGTCCCTGGAATACGATCCCCTGCCGCGAAGAATCGTTTTTTCATCCAAGTACACATTTTACTGTTGCGTTAAACAGAGGCTACAGTTAAGGAATTGTGCCCAGTAAATCCTCCCCGGCCAGGATACGAACCCATGACATAGCGCTCGCGGAACGCCAGGCGAGTGTCTTACCACTACACCACGGAGACTGCACGGAGTTTTAACTTAAAATTAAAAAAAATTAACTCATACATAATGAAATAGATATTTTTATCATTCCATAAGAAAAAATATTGAAAAATATATAAATTTAGGAAAACTTGGCTTATTAGGCAAATCGGGGCTTGCATAGTAGGCCGAGTACGACGTTCTGGCTACTAGGTACAACATATATATATATATATATATATATATATATATATATATATATATATATATATATATATATATATATATATATGTCGTACCTAGTAGCCAGAACTCACTTTTTGGCCTACTATTCAAGGCCCGATTTGCCTTATAAGCCAAGTTTTCCTGAAATAATATATTTTTTCAATTTTTTTTTCTTATGAAATGATAAAGCTACCCATTTCTTTATGAATGAGGCCAATTTTTTTTATTGGAGTTAAAATTAACGTAGATATATGACCGAACCTAACCAACCCTACCTAACCTAACCTAACCTATCTTTATAGGTTAGGTTTGGTTAGGTAGCCGAAAAAGTTAGGTTAGGTTAGGTTAGGTAGGTTAGGTAGTCGAAAAACAATTAATTCATGAAAACTTGGCTTATTAGACAAATCGGGCCTTGCATAGTAGGCTGAGAAGTGCGTTCTGGCTACTAGGTACGACATATATATATATATATATATATATATATATATATATATATATATATATATATGTCGTACCTAGTAGCCAGAACTCTCTTCTCAGCCTACTATTCAAGGCCCGATTTGCCTAATAAGCCAAGTTTTCCTGAATTAATATATTTACTATAGTTTTTTTCTTATGAAATGATAAAGCAACCCTTTTCTCTATGTATGAGGTCAATTTTTTTTATTTGAGTTAAAATTAACGTAGATATATGACCGAACCTAACCAACCCTACCTAACCTAACCTAACCTATATTTATAGGTAAGGTTAGGTTAGGTAGCCAAAAAAGCTAGGTTAGGTTAGGTTAGGTAGGTTAGGTAGACGAAAAAACATTAATTCATGAAAACTTGGCTTATTAGGCAAATCGGGCCTTGAATAGTAGGCTGAGAAGTGCGTTCTGGCTATTAGGTACGACATATATATATATATATATATATATATATATATATATATATATATATATATATATATATATATATATATATGTCGTACCTAATAGCCAGAACGCACTTCTCAGCCTACTATTCAAGGCCCGATTTGCTTAATAAGCCAAGTTTTCATGAATTAATGTTTTTTCGTCTACCTAACCTACCTAACCTAACCTAACCTAGCTTTTTTTGGCTACCTAACCTAACCTTACCTATAAATATAGGTTAGGTTAGGTTAGGTAGGGTTGGTTAGGTTCGGTCATATATCTACGTTAATTTTAACTCCAATAAAAAAAAATTGACCTCATACATAGAGAAAAGGGTTGCTTTATCATTTCATAAGAAAAAAATTATAGTAAATATATTAATTCAGGAAAACTTGGCTTATTAGGCAAATCGGGCCATGAATAGTAGGCTGAGAAGTGAGTTCTGGCTACTAGGTACGACATATATATATATATATATATATATATATATATATATATATATATATATATATATATATATATATATATATATATATATATATGCAAACAAGCCTGAATGGTCCCCAGGACTATATACAACTGAAAACTCACACCCCAGAAGTGACTCGAACCCATACTCCCACAACTGGTATGTACAGGGACGCCTTAATCCGCTTGACCATCACTATCTCGGCTATCACTTCCTTTTGTCCGGTCGTGATGGTCAAGCGGATTAAGGCGTCCCTGTACATACCAGTTGTGGGAGTATGGGTTCGAGTCACTTCTGGGGTGTGAGTTTTCAGTTATATATATATATATATATATATATATATATATATATATATATATATATATATATATATATATATATATTATTAAATCAGTATATATACTGATTTATATTATATATACAATATATAATATATATTGTATATATACAATAAATATATATTATTAGATACCAACGTACCTGTGGACGAGACAATCGGAATGATAGCCGACAGAGTGTATCGTGATCCAGCCTGTACTCCTCTTGACATGCCAGAAAGTATTCTGAGGAAACTACTCCAAGCTTGTACTAAAGAGGCACCCTTCTTGAGCCCGGATGGGCACATGTATAAGCAAGTAGATGGGGTCGCCATGGGTTCTCCCCTAGGTGTCCTGTTTGCAAACTTCTACATGGGTACCATCGAGCAAAAAGTCTTAGTCGACATGAACTTGAAACCGGCCATATACTGCAGGTATGTTGACGACATTTTTACACAGGTACCTGATGTCAGACATCTGCAGGAGCTGAAGGAGGCATTTGAGCAGAGTTCCGTGCTGCGTTTCACTTACGAGACGGAAAAGGATGGGAAGCTGCCTTTTCTAGATGTAACAGTCATGGAAAAGGGCGGAGGTTTCCACACTGCAGTCTACACAAAGGAAACAAACATAGGAATGTGCCTAAATGCCAACAGCGACTGCCCTGACAGGTACAAGAGGAGTGTTGTTAACGCATACGTCGACCGTGCTCTCAGCCACAGCTCAGAATGGAAGCAAGTCGACGAAGAACTCTGTAGGGTAAGGCAGGTTCTAGTCAATAACGGCTTCTCCAATGGTTTCATCGAAGACATCATAAGAAGGAAAGTGAAAAGCCATGCAACCTCCGAAGAGACAACTAACACAACACCAATACCCCCTATTAGACTATTTTACAGGAACTTCTTTTCCACAGCTCATAAAACAGAGGAAAGGGTCCTGAAAGATATTGTTAATAGAAACGTTATCCCTACAGACAAAAATCAGAGGATACAACTGACGATTTACTATAAAACCAGAAAAACGGCCAGCCTACTCATGAGAAACTCTCCAGACACGAAACAGAACGCTTTAAAAGAGACTAACGTCGTCTATGCCTTCAAATGCCCACTTGGGGACTGTAAGCTCCAAAAAACCCAGTATATAGGCAAGACAACAACATCTCTTTCTAGGCGTTTAACGATGCATAAACAACAGGGCTCCATTAAGGAACATATAATCTCTTCCCATAACCAAACCATCGCCAGAGAAATCCTAGTAAACAACACAGAAATCATCGATAGATACAGCGATAGCAGGCGGCTTGACGTTTGCGAGGCACTACACATCAAGAAGTCAACACCAGCAATCAACAGCCAATTATTGCACAACTATATTCTACCCACCTCAAGACTCCGCTCCAATATAGAAGCATCAAGAAATATGGACCAATAGGCTTTCTACA